ATCGAGAAGCTGCGGTGTGCGCAGGTCAGCCGGCAGCTGATCGACGCCAGCAAGAGCAACTGAGTCGATGTCCATGACATCGAAGCCGCTGTCGTCGCCAGAGTTGACATCGATGGTGAGAGGCGCAGAATCGAGGGCAACAGAGACTGTCATTTTTCGGCAAGACCGAGTCCGACTAAGGTGCCGCCGGGAAATCGAGACGCCGACAGCAGGTCGAGAGAATTTTCCGTCGCTGAAAAAACTGTAAGCACGCGGCCGCAAACAGCACCATGCTACCAGCGCCACCGTGCCGGCGCTGGTGAGCTCTGCGGCCCGTGTAGCGGCCCCTTAGCCCGTCGCCCGGGCACATGGCGCCCTCACACCTCTCCGCTCCTCGCCCCCGTCTCGCAGGCCAAAATCGTCGACATCGCGTCGGCACTCTCTACGGCGCGCCTGGGCTTGCAGAGGGCGGCTTGGGCGGTGCAGGGTGGCTGGGCTGCCCCCCTCCCGCGGTGCGCCAAGCCTCGGGGGTCGGGGAGACCATCTCGGGTCGCCGAGGGGGCGGGTCGGACGCCCGATCCGGCTGCTGGCCGGAGGACGTCGCCGGCTCCGCGATTTTGGGCGCCCCAGGCGCCTCCAGCCGGGCCGAGCGGCGCCAGCTGGTAGCTGGGGCCGCAGGGCGGTCGGGACGACACCGTATGCTAGTCGGGGTGGATTGTCTAGGGGCGTAAAGTTCGGTAGAGTGTCCGTTTGTGGCCTCCGGACGGGCTCTGGTCGGGAGCCCGCCGGGCCGGCTGAGGCTGTGTGTCCGTCCACTGTGGACCCAGTGATGGCCTAGGAGCCCTGCACGGACGGTGTTTATGCTATGTAACACCTGCGGACCGGAAGGTACCGCCGTGGCGCCGCGAGGGGCCGTCTAAGCGCCAGCGTGACCCTTCCCGGGCCCCCTTGGGTGGGCTCCGGTGCACCCGGTGTGATTTTCTGTGTGAGCTCTGTGTCTTGATTTGCCAACAATATACCTAAAAACAACTATTTAACACACTAGCAGGTTGGCTCGCTAGTCCCGCTCACCGGGCCCGCGCAGCACGCGCGGGCCTTTTTTGTGGTTGATAAAGGTGGCACCTTCGACATTGCACTTGGAGCACTTGGAGTGCCGATTGCGTTTCTTTTCTTTATATAGGAGAGAGAGTTGTATTGTCTAAATTCTTTATGCTGTCCTCCTAAGTCCTATTTTTCCTATAAGCTTAAAGGCCCGCTAAACGCGCGAGGCGGTGGCGGCGGTGGTGCGGGGGATTGGCAGGGGAGGCGGCGGGATTGACAGGGGATGGGGCGGCCACGAGCGGAGCGGCGGCGAGAGGCGGGGCGGCGGCGAGGGCGCGAGGCGCCAACGAGCGAGGAGCCCGCGCCATCAGAGGGACGCGCCGCTGCGAGATGGAGGGCGGCGGTGACGGAGGCAAGGCGCGAGGCGGCGGCGGCGGCGGCGGCGGCGGCGGCGGAGGCGGCGGCGGCGGCGGCGGCGGCGAGAACGGCGGCACCGAGTTGTCTCGGTGAGCGGAGCGGCGGCAGGAGGAGGAGCAGCTCGCTGTTGAGCGCTTTTGAGCCTGGGATCCCATGTCACTGCGACCGGCGTGCCCGGGAACAGAGATCGCGCGCGCGCCGCCACTCACGACGCGCGCGCGATCTTCGCGGAGTCGGGTCCCCAGAGGGAAGCGGTCTTCTCGGCCGACGTCCAGCGGCGCGGAAGGACAGGCGCAGCGGTGCACCGCGCCGCGTTGATTCGCGACCACCGTCGGCCGCGGACGGCGGCGGCGTGGCGGCCGTGGGCGCTCGCAAGACGCGCCGCTCTGCTCTGGTACGGTTCGTTCGACTCGTTGTGCCGCCACACGCCCGGCGGCCGCGGGTCCCAGAAGTGGTTGCGCGGGCCTCTTCCTTGCGGCCGCGGGACGGCGTCGGGCACGTCGTCGGTCGCAACAGATGCGCGGCGAGCCGAGGCACGTCGTTGCTGGCGCTGGTGGTTTGAGGTCGGCATCGTCCAGAGCTCGGTCGAAGAGTCGAGAGCTCTGGACGAGGCGTCCCGGAGGCACCTCGCCGTCTGGCCTTCGAATTTAATAAATTCCATGGTGGCCGTCTCCATGGATACCCAGCAGTATCTCCGCCGTACTCGCTCCTCGCGCCGCCGCGAGCGGGCACAGGGTGTGCCAGCATGTGCGCCAGCCCTGCCCACGCTCCTCCCGCGCTCTCGCGCGCTCTATGGCTTACGCAGGCACGTTCGAGCGCCTCGGTGCGCAGCGTCAAACTGAGGGCCGGCGACAGCCCGAGGCGCGCCGGAACCCGCTGCCGCGTGGCGTGCCGCCCCGATCCACCCCAAGGGTCAGCCCGAGGCCGATTGGGCCGCTCCCGGAGCACTCCGTCTCGAGGAACCCCCCCGCACTTTTGCGGCCTCTCGCCACAGGCTCACCGCCCCTACATGTGGCCACCGGGCGAGAACGATGGTGCGCTGGTCGCTCCTGCGCGTGGTGTGAGCGCCGTGTGACCGGCCGCACTCTCTCCCGCGCCCGACGCGCGCAGGTGCAGCTGGCCGCGACGCGCATAGCGCTGCACACGCACAAGTTGTGGCGGCGGCGGCGCACCCGGTCCTCCTCGCCAGACATGAAACGCGGCGCTCCATGCGGCGGCAACGCATTCGTGGCTCTCTGGTGCTGTGCGCGAGGCGCCGACGGCGCCGTCGAGGCCACGGTGGACGTTGCCTACACGTGCTCGCTGCGTGAGACTGCTCACTGCGCGCGACCACCCAGTGCTCCATCCGGCATCCGACGTTCGCGAGAGTCGCCGCCGACGCACAGTTTACTGTGATCTGACTTGAACTTTTGTGTGTCCCCATACATCGCTGCACGCTGCTGTGACGCGACGACGCTGTCTCGAGAGAGAAAGAGTGATATGTGACGGGATGTGAGGGTTGCAGCAGTTGGCTTGCACTTTTTGGTAGTTGGTGTATACACGCCGCGTGCGGTAAACGCGTGGGTATACACGCCGCGTCGCATGAGTGTCCATGATGACGGGCGGCTTCGTGTGGACCCATACCGGCGCGACCAAAGAGCTCGAACCCTGGGGCGAGGCACCACACACAAAGCTCTGTGGGCTGAGCGCCGCGCTCGACCCGTCCGCCCAGCGCGGGAGGACACGCACACGGCCGCACTCGCGGCAAATGCGGAGCTGCACGCACTCCTCACCCACAGCATCGAGAGTGAGCCACGCCTGCCTGGGCTGCGGCGGCGGCGCTCCTGGGCGCCACACGCAGAGGGCGTAGGAGCGGCACTCCCAGAGGTGCCCCTTCTTGCGCTGGTTGACGTCAGTGAACGGGTTGGGGAAGACGAGGCCGCCGCGTATGTAGTGGACCTCGTGCGCACCCTCGCCAACGAGGCACTCGTACCACCGCGTGTGCGACAGGATAGGGAGCAGCGCGACCAGAGTGCAGCCCCGCGCGCGCACGTCCACCTCGACCAGCTTGCGGAGGTGCACCTCGAGACCCGCCGCGCCGTTGGCCATATCCTGAGGCGCGTACGCGGGGTTGGCGTAGACGATGGCGCCCGGAGGAATGACAGCACGCGCGAGGACGTCGTCCTCGAGCGTCGCGTACGCGCCGCACACCGCCGAGAAGGGCGTCGCCATCGCGTCAAAAGTTGGCTTCCAGATGCGGCGCACCGTGGCGACAACGGAGGCGGGGCTCTCAAACTGCTGGTGCATCTTGACGACAAGGACGGAGAGCGGCGGGTCCGCGGCGTCGGGCTCGAGCTCCCAGCGGGAGGCGCCGATGCGCCCGCCTGCCCTGCGGCGCGGCTCGGGCGTCGGGCGGCGGCGAAAATGTGCGGCTGCTCTTGCTAGGCGCGCCTGACGGCGCCGTGTTCGCGGTGCGACAACGCGTGCAAGTACTCATTGATACCGACGGCCGTGCGGGGCGCGGAGAGCTCGACGCCGGCGCACCATCCCTTGGGCCGCGGCCGCCTCGGGTACGTCAGGGCGCCGCCGCGGCCGAGGGCGGGTGCCTGGATGAGGGCGACCGCTGTCGTGGTCAGCTCTTGGTGGATGGTGAGGAACTATATCAGTGCACACGTGAGCGCCGGCGTGGCGCACGCGGTGTGCGAACGGGCCGGGAACCCCCCCAGGGCAGCGCGCTCGCAGACAAGAGCCGACGATTGGCGCGGCACCACGCGCCTGGTCGCCGGCGGTCCGGCGCGAGCGTGTGGTCCTCGGGCGGGCCGGCATCATTCGTCGCGCTGGTCGCCGGCTTGTAGGCGTCGGGTGGTCAACGGGGACGGGCGGGTGGCCGACGACTTGAATGGCAGCTGGCCCGACATTATAATATTAGGTCTTGACCGAACGGCGAGGTGCCCCCAGGACGAGGGTGCCACCTTTGTGCTCTTTGTGCACGAAATGGGAATATACAGTGGGTTGCGGGCATTAAGAAAACAGGATTTCGCGGCACGCCGCCGTTTCTAAGCCTTTCCACAGCCCTCATCCACCCCACGCCGTGGTTTCTTAGCTCCGGGGCACTCAAGCCAGAGCGCCGGCCCGAAGGATTTTTTAGGTAAGAGGTAAGCTGCGGTCCGCGAGGGCGATGCCAGAGTCTGCCGCCGAGTCGGCTCTCTGTCTGGATACTGGATGACGGGAAGACGCACACACGCCTCCATTCACTCCATCCACTCAGAACACCGCAGACTTGGAAAGTGACAAGTGCGCGCGCCGCAGGCGAAGAGAAATTTTGAGCTGGGCCTCCCGTTCACACTCGTGTCTGGCCTTTTCTCGGGGCCGCGCCTGCGGCGCGCCGTGGTTTCTTAGATTTTTGCGGAAATCGCTTGGTAGGGTTTCTTAATGGTACGTTTTCTTAATGCCCGCAACCCACTGTATCTCTTTGATTTAACACATCTCTCTCTCTCTGTGTGAGTGTGTGTGACAGAGACAAAACTTCTGATGCCATGCGTGACCTAGTAGTGTCCCCAGCTATGGGCGTGTCCACGTTGGAGCCAGGTGTGGTGTGGACGCGAGAATAGCTCCGCCGTTCATGGAGGCAACCGATGCGAGTCGACTGGTGTGTGTGTCGTCGTGGTTTCGTATCAAGAATACTCACTCACATCTCTCTCTCTCTCAACTCCACTTAACACACAACAGATGACACACAACAGATGTTGTTCAAACACTCTTTGGTTGTTCAAACACGCTGTCGAAACACGCTGCGCGAGAACGGGCAGCTTTAAGGCGGGCAGCGCTCCAGCACAAAGCTGCAGATGTCCCGGATGAGCCCGTCCGCCGCCGCCCTGTCCGCGGGCAGCGGCCGGTGCCCCTCCTTGTGCTCGACCAGCCGCGCGCCGCGAAAATGCGCAACGAGCTCGACGGGCCCCTCCGCTGACACCGTGTCGGAAGCGCCGCGCACCACCAGCGCCGGGACGGGCAGAGGCGCGGCGAAGAGCCGCTTCCACGCGTCCTGATGCGGCCAGCCGGGCCGAGCCGGGGCGAGGAGCACGACGCAGCGGAGTGAGGTGGCGAGCGGGCCGACGCCCGCCGCGGCGCGCGCCGCCAGCATCGACGCAAAGTTGGCGCCCTGAGAGAAGCCGAGCACCGCGTCGCAGCCGCCGGCGCCGGCGATGCGCGCCTCGAGATCCGCGACCGCAGCCTCGGCGGCGGCGGGCTCGTACGTGCGCCTGCCGGCCTCATCCAGGAGCGCTGGCGCGTACTCGCGGAGCACCTGGTCGCCAAATATCTTCCGCATCGCTGCGCCGTGCGGGTTCTCGGCAGCAATCACCTCGGTGCCTTCGTACACCGCCGAGTCGGCGCCGGCCGCCTTGAGCGCCAGCTTAAGCCGCGAGGCCTGGATCGTGAAGATGCGCTCGTTGCCCGCCGTGCCGTGCAGGCACGCGACGCGCGCACGCCGGCCGAGCGGAGCAGCAAGACTCCCCTGCGCGCTGCTCTCGACACCGCCGCTCTCGAGGAAGGCGACGAGCCGGTCCTCGCTCCAGCCGGCGGCCTCGGGCGGCACCTCGACGTCCTCCGCAAAGTTCTCCGCCTGCAGCTCGGCGATGCGAGTGGCAGAGGGCATCGAGCTGCGCCGTGCCTCTCCGCCGTCCAGGACGTGGAGCCACCAGCTTTCGGCGAAGGGACGAGAAACCGGGTACTCGAGTACTAGTAGTATAATAGTATGTGCATGGGTAAAGTGGGTTGAGGCGGGCTAGTACTGTAGCCGCTTGGTTTTGCTATGCCGGGCAAGAAGGGTTGTGGCACCATTTCAGACATGTATTGAAGTTTCCCCCGGCGTCTTTCTTTCTGCGAGCATCGCTTGAGCTCTGGAGAGAGAGTATCCTCTTCCCACCCAGGTTTCGCGACTCTGCGTGGCCGACTCACACAGCGAGCCTTCCTGTCTCCCTGCTGCCGATTCATCGGGCATGCTGTGTTTTTGATATTGTCTCCGCAAGGCCTCCCGACCGCGTCGAACTCACGGCGCGGGCTCTCTCGGCTACGGGACCGGCCCCAGCTTCGGCTGAGGGCTAACAAGCTGCCGAGCCCAAATCACTGTGAGAGTCGTGATATTGTTGAGACCGACCATATGCAAAAAACACTCTCTCTCCATATGCACAATATCTTGACTGAGAGCTAAGCCCAGTTCGACGATCGGCAGCCTCACCGCGGGTCGCGCCGCTGCGCAGCGAGAGCCAGGCTCGCCCGGCGAAGGAAGGTGACCAGGGACGAGAAACCGGCTTCGTGAAGTTTGGCGCGCCCGTCTTTCTTTCTGCGAGCATCGCTTGAGCTCTGGAGAGAGAGTATCCTCTTCCCACCCAGGTTTCGCGACTCTGCGTGGCCGACTCACACAGCGAGCCTTCCTGTCTCCCTGCTGCCGATTCATCGGGCATGCTCAGTCAAGATATTGTTGAGACCGATCTGAGGGAGGGTGTAGACGAGAAACCGATTACTTGAGTACGTTGAAGTTTCGAACAGGCGTCTTTCTTTCTTGTAAGGGCTCTATGGGCTTCCAGTATCGGACCTTCAAGACATGCGCTTTTGGCCGGTGGCCTCCTCGGCGATAGGGTGCCCACAGGACCCAAAAGAAAAATAGCTTTCCGGGTCAAAAAGGGACGCACGAGGCAAATCTGATGTTGGAATGTTTCAATAGGAGAGAGGCCTCTTCCGTTGGGGGACCGAGTGCATAGGAAACGAGGGTTCCCCGGTTTGTCACGCGCGAGCACGAGCGTGACACTGCACTTGGCGCCGAGCGCCCGCGGCTCAGACCTTGTGCAGGCCACCCCTCGGTGAGCACGCCGGTCCGGACCGATGGCGCTCGGTGTGGAGCAAGCAAGACCCCCCCCCCCCATCGGCGCGCGCTCGCCATTCCAACGGCCGCCAGGAGCACCAAGAGGACTCCTCATGGCTGTGCTCAAGTGGGCTTCGACCGGCCTCGGCTGGGGGGGCGGGTTGTCCCGGCTGCGGACGCCTTCTGCAGCCCCCTGGGATGGGGACAGCACCCCAAAACTGCCCCTCGGCGGCATACAGCACTGCCAGCCAGCCTCTTCCTCCTCCTCAAGGGCTGTACTATAGGCCATATTGCGCCGCCTCCTACTAGCAGCCGGGCGGGCGCGCGCCGCGGGCGCCTCGGCGCGCGCACGGCTCGCAAAGTCCAACGAGTACTGCCGCCCGGCCGCCTCAAGACTGCCGCACTCGCCTCGCAAGGCGCGCACCGGCTGCTCTGGCTGCTGCGCCGGCGGCCGCTGCGCTGGCCGCTGCTTCGCCGGCTGGCGGGCGGCACGGCCGCCGGCGGCCGCTGCACACGCGCCTTCCCTCGCGGGCGCCGTCGCGCCGCGCGCGCCCAACTCTGCTGGTACACGGCATGCGCGCGTCACACAGCCGCGGAGAACAGGCGGTGCTGTGCGCGAAGCGCGCGCGATCTCGTACTTTTAAGGCTGGATCCGGCCATTCCAAGGGTATACCTTTGAGAATCCCCAGCGTCCCACCCTCCTAGTCACACTCTCAATATCTCGACTAGCCAACATGAAGTGCTGCGATCGGGAGTGCCCCATTTCTTTTTTCCTTTCTTTTTTTGGGTCCTGTGGGCACCCTATACCTCGGACATGGTACCTCCGGTGAGATAGTGGCTGCCAGTTCGAGACTGGGGCCGATCGAACTTGACTTGTTCGGAGGAGGAATCCGGCCAGCACGGGTACAAAGAGGGGTCCCGGAGAATCCCCACCCAGCTGCGGAAACGTAGTGTCGCTCAAGAGGTGCGATACTGCGGGGGAGTGTAAGGTGCCTATATGGGCTTCCAGTATCGGACCTTCAAGACATGCGCTTTTGGCCGGTGGCCTCCTCGGACATAAACCGTGTCCACACCATTTTCACACCGTTCAAACGCGGCGGTCTTTTTGCGCAGTGTGCGTGAAATGGGCTGGCAGCTTGGTAAAACCCCCGGGTGCAAGCAGTAAGGCGGCCGGCGGTGGGGCGAGGGGGTGGGTGGGGGGGGGGGGGTATGGTCCCGTCGGCGGGAGGCTGGGTCTTTCAGGTCTCCCGCATGCGAGCCCGCTGGGGGCACACGGCGACACGGGTCACTCTTAGGACTAGGACGGCTACCTCCTGGGGCCCCCTCCCTCGTCGCCACCATGCGCGCCGCGCCGCGGTTCCTTCCTGGATTCGCTCGAGACTGGCCGGCCGTCGCGTCGACGGCCGGCCTGCCTCCGCACGAGGCGATGCGGTGGCTCGCTGGCGAGCTTGCTGCCGGCGCGGGTGATCTGGTTTTGGATGCAGAGGTCGGATGCTCGTACCTCGACGCTGAGCTCGTGCCGGTCTCGGTGCCCGCCCTCGCCGCCTACCTCAGCGAGCCGCGCGCGGCAGTGGAGGCGCCCGGCCCGTACCTCGCCCAGGCGGACCTTTTCGCCGAACGCCCGGGCCTGCGGGAGAGGCTGCTGCCGCCTTCCCTCACGGACCGCACACCGCGCCCGTACCGCACGGTGGCTTGGCTCGGAGGCGCCCGCGTCGCCACCGCTGCCGCTAGCACCCCCACGGAAAGTTGTGGTGAGCTCCTCTCGGACAGTACAGGCGCCACCTCATCGCCCCTCCACCACGACCCGTATGCCGGGCTGCTCGTGCAGCAGATTGGGCGCAAGCGGTGCGCGCTCCTGCCACCCGACTCGCCATCGACGCAATCGCTGCCGCGGCACACGCTGCTGCAGGGCAAACACCTCGCCGGCGGCATCCTCTTTTGCGCCCTGGTGTACCTCGGAATCTGCTCGGAACCTGCTCCTAGGCAACTCCTCTCCGGTTGACCCGTTTGCGCCGCGACGCGACACGGAGCGCCGCCCTAGACGCCGACACCGCCAGATGCCGACACCGCGCTCCGCTGTACGGCCACTGCAGTCCATGGCGCACCCACCCCTCTCTGTGTGCCAAAGTGTGCTTTGTGGGAGCGCTCATGCCTCTCATCGCGCTGTGCGTACGCCGGTAGGAGCGCTACCCTGACTATCCAGCGGCGGCGGTGCTCGAGCACGTCCTGTCCGAGGGCGACGCGCTGCTCATCCCGCGCCGGTGGTGGCACGCGGTGCGAACGGACGACAGCACGTTCGCCTCCTTCTCTCTGACGCTGTGGTGGGACGGCGCGTCGGCTGACGCGGAGGCGGAGAGGTTTGTGAGGGGCGTTTTGGAGAGCAAGGAGCGACGCGACGAGGGGGCGCGGACGGTGGGAGCCGAGAGAAATGGATGAAAAAATAAGACTTAAAAGTCTTAAGCGGAATTTCTTAGGGGACCCCTAGGGTTCTGAGGGCCGGATTTTTTAAGACCTTTTTAAGAAACGGGGTGATGCTCCGATAAACCCGCCGGATCTTCGACAAAACCCGGACATTTCTTTTTTTGGAAGGGTAGGTGTGAATACAGCTTTCTGGTAGGGTTACATCGACGAACTATGCGGCAATCGACTGGGGGGCAGCCCCCCGGCACATCCCGCACAGAGACCTGGATGTAACCCGATTGTGAGCGTGAGTGAAACCGCCGATGCGATTGCTCATTGCTCAGTCAGTGACCGACAGTCAGTCGCAGCAGACTTTGACGATTGGCGGCCTCGCGCCCTCAGTCGCCCTCCTCTACTAACGGCCCTGCCCCAGCCCAGATGCCTCATCCAGGGTGGTGCAACCACTCGCGCAGGGAGGGAGAGACAGTCGGCGATCTGCGCCGCGCAGATGAGCTCCGCCTCGTCTGCGTCGAGGACGTCCACCGCAGGGCTATCATAGCGCCATATGACGCACTGCCTGTTGTTCATTACTTCGCAGGTGCCAACGTCGAGGACAATCTCACTGGTGGCGGCTGCACTCCCGGCCGGCGGTAGGAGAGATGAAGGCTAATGTACTTGGCAGTGTACGGGGCCTTCCGGCGTGAACAGTGCCCCGGGACGAAAGAGGAGGCGACGTCTCTCTCGTCCACGAGCGCCTCGATGTGCGCATCGACGGTGTAACCAGCTTTGAGAGACGGGAACGAACGGCGGTGAATCGCCGACAGGTGCGCCTTCGTTCCTACCACCACTCCCACCACCGCCAGCTCCGCCGTGGACCTTGCCGGGCCCTCTGATGATGTAGTACCGTGGAGCAGCTCGTCCGAGCCGTTGTTGTACTCTGCTGTGGCGCCAGCTCGGTGTACAATACGGACGAAGACGGCCACAGCAACGGTGTAACCAGCGCGAGCAGGCAGCGCGAACCGCTGTGCCTCGGCGCGCCGGCCGCCGAAATCCTCTCAGAGTTCTTTGGCATAGGGGAACCCCAACCCTAAATTTTCTTCGCCTGCGGCGGGCCATCACTTGGATTCGCTGCTTTCGGATTCATAGCTCTTTCGCACGCCTTTATCCGTCACTCCCCCGAAGATTGGAGGTGTTGATTTATGCACAAATCTATGTGTTGCGAGCGCTAGATGGCGAAATTTTCTTCGCCTCCGGCGGGGCCGCTCGCCGCGGGGCTAGAGAGGGACTTTTGTCGATGTCGGCTAGAAGTGCTGCACCTTTTTGAGAATTTCACCCAACGAGGAGGTTTGGGGGCTTAACTTGCCATTTAAGAGATTGCAGGCACGGGGGGTCCCTCTTTTAAGACCGTTTAAGAAAATCGGCCTCGCCGGCATGCGTCGCGCTGGGGGTTCCGCGCCGTTTTCTCCAATACTGCCGTTGTTAGGCACAAACCCGCCTCTGAAGACACATCTGTAAGTCTGGTGCACTGGCAGGAGCCATACTCGCATAGGGGACGCGTGCTAGCTGACTGTAGCCAGCTTCCCGGCCTCCGGCGTGTCTACCGGGAGCCTCCCGGACCATCGACCTCGGGAGCTCTCCCGCACCGTTTAAGCGTTTAAGACCGTTTAAGGAATTGGCGGCCCAGCAGCTCTTAAAACTTGCCATGTGGCAAGTTTTAAGCCGTTTAAGCCGCAGGCGCCCCAGGGCCCACCCTTTTAAGCCTAGGGGTCCCCTAAGCGGAATTTAGTGTGTGTGTCTCTGGGCCGGCGCGGGGGCCCCCGGAGGCACCGTGCGCCGCGCCGCAGTGCGGAAACGGGGCTCCGGCTCTACTAGTCTCTACTAGCACCAACTTCCCGATCTAACCCGGTCTAACAGAGGGCAGATTTGGAGAGATCTCGAGGAGTACATACAGATAGACCCTCTAACCATAAGAAAACTCCGACCTGATCGGTCGTACTGACCGCCGACAGATCACTCCAGACAGCAGACAGGCCGACGTCTGCACGCGGCTGGCCGGGCGAGAGGCTTGACACGATCCGACCCTGCGACCCTGACGCTGCAGCTCTAGCTATCAGACATGCACTGCTGACTGCTGCCACAATATGCGACCTGTGCTGGCCCACTTGGCGGCCTTCCCGGTCAGTGGTGAGGCGCAGTTCAGAGCTGTCGATGGCGCGATGCCGCACTGGTCCCACATTGGTGACACGAGACCACCAAGTTTGCCAGTCCAAGAGAGAGGCACCGGCGCTGTCCTGTGAAGGTGCGTGGTCCCTCCTGACTGCCCATGCGCGCGAGGCTGTGTAGGCATAGCCTCGAGAGTGCCAGCAGCCAATCCGAGGCGACGCGCATTGCGCCAGAAGCGTGCACACGATGGAAGGACACCTTCCTACTGGTCGTAGAATCAGGTCGTCACTGAATGCTTGATACTAAGGCCGCGAGCTATGCAGGTGATCAATTGTGCATCATGGCACGGTCAGCAGCGCCGACAGGCTGTCGCAAGGCGTGATAGCATGGCCGCAAGTACGCAGAACTCCCATGAAAACAAGTAAAAATCGCGAAAAAAAGAAAAAAATCCCGAAAAAATCGGCGCCTGCGGCGGGCCGTGGGAACCCATCTCCCCCCCGCATGGACACCCTCTGGGGGCCCCGCGCCGGCCCAGAGGTGTGTGTGTGAGTGTAATTTCTCGGTGTAAAGCTAAAAAGGAAGTGTTTATGAGAAAGAGGTACACGTTTCCTCACTTTGGGGGAGGATGAAAAAGAAGCCTGCCGGACATTGTGCTCAACCACTCTCTCTCGGTCTCGCGAGGGTGGCCGGGGACACACACTCAAAACCACCACCCGCGCGCTCGCCGCCCGCCGCGGCCTCGGCGGGCCGCCCCGCCGGCGCCTCGACTCAGACGATGCCCCAGACCTTGAAGAGCCCCATCTCCTTTGGCCCGGGGATGAGGTCTGGCTGCCAGTCGTGCGCAAACTTGACGGCGAGCAGCACCCAGATGAAGTTCGCCTTCCCGAAGAAGAAGAGGCCGAAGATGAAGAGGATGCACGACTTTGCCCAGCCGACGCGGAAGCCAGCCTGGTCGAAGGCGCCGCCCTCGCCGACCATCCTCGCGCGCCTCTCGTCGAGCACCTGTGGGGCATGTCCTCGACGTGTCCTGGACGTGTCCTCGACGTGTTCCGCCTCTGTGACGGGGGGTGACCGCCCACCCCCCCCTGGGACGTGTCCTGGACGTGTCTTGGAGAAGGGGGGAATGCGGCGGGTTTGGAGCGTATCTCGGCTGAGTCGCGGCTGTCTCTCGGCTGCATCTCCGCGCCTTGTACGGGATCAGCCCCGAGCGGCTCTCGGCGAGACCATCAAAGAGGACGTTGCACGCGGCACGCGTCACGGGGAGCGCCTGGAAGTCGTCGACGGTGAGACCGACCGAGGCGGCGATCTTGGCGTTGGTGAAGGGCAGGTTCGGCACGTTCTGGAACATCGCCTACCGCGCCGCATCAACCCCTCGCTCAAAAGAGTGCGCCCTCTCTCCTCAGAACTGCTGGCTCGGCCGCTGGCGCGCCGAGCGCTCGCCGCACCCCAGGCGGAGAGCCATCTGGTGGCGGCCGGTGGTGAGAGCCTGCCGCTCGTCCTCGTCCTTGGCCCGCAGGTCCGTCTCGTCGATGAAGATGGTGCGGTCTTTCCACTCGGAGCACCGCTCCCACCGGCCGAGCACGTTGACAATCTCGAGGAGCGAGGCCGTCTCGTTCTCCCAGAAGGCGCTCCGCCGCCACACGTCGCCCATGCTCTTGTCAGAACACTTTTCGAGCAGCGTGCGCAGCACCGCTTCGCCCTCCTCCCCGAGCGACCGCACGCCATCAGCCTCCACCACGACGTTGAGCGCTGCTGCAGCTGCGGCGGGCGGCGCCTGGGCGGGCTCGACGCCAGGCACGGCCTCCGCCGTCATCAGTGAGGCGCCGTGGCGCTGGCCGCTGAGCAGCAGCGGCGAGCGGCTCAGGAATAGGCCGACAACCGGCGCGAGAGAAAGCAGGGCGGCGACCATCGTGGGCCGGGATGCAGGTTCACAGTTTTGGGCTGTGAACTTAATTACGCGATCCCTTTCTTCTCTTCTCTTGTTGGCGTAGTCAGAGGATGAAGCAGCAGGAAAGAGAACGACGAGAGTGAGAAGACCGCGAAGTGACGTGAAGGTCGCTGCGAGAATTGGCGAGGCCGAGGGAGTGCGAAGAGAGATAGGAAGGAAGAGGCTGCAGACAGGGGGGAGAGAGAGATTTTCAGAAGCCAACAAGAAATGTGGCACACAGTGATTTGGGCTCGGCAGCTTGTCGACTACCAGCCGAAGCCGGAGTCGGAACCGTAGCCGAGATGGTCGTCGAGGGTGTCGAATATGCTTAGGGGTTAGGGGACCCCTAGGGTTCTGAGGGCCGGGTTTTTTAAAGACCTTTTAAGAAACGAGGAGGTTTGGGGGTTTAACTTGCCATTTAAGAGATTGCAGGCACGGGGGGTCCCTCTTTTAAGATCGTTTAAGAAAATCGGCCTCGCCGGCATGCGTCGCGCTGGGGGTTCCGCGCCGTTTTCTCCAATTGTCCAATACTGCCGTTATTGGGCACAAACCCGCCTCCGAAGACACATCTCTAAGTCTGGTGCACTGGCAGGAGCCATACTCGCATAGGGGACGCGTGCCAGCTGACTGTAGCCAGCTTCCCGGCCTACGGCGTCTACCGGGAGCCTCCCGGACCATCCATGGACCATCGACCTCGGGAGCTCTCCGCACCGTTTAAGCGATTAAGACCGTTTAAGGAATCGGCGGCCCAGGCAGCCTTAAAAGGGGCCCGGGCCCGTTTTAAGCCGTTTAAGCCGCAGGCGCCCCAGGGCCCACCCTTTTAAGCCTAGGGGTCCCCTAAGCGAATATGTCATTCGCCTCGCTAGTTTCTAGGCTAGTAGAGCCGGAGCCGCATGAGTCTTGGTCGGAGGAGGAGTCGTCGGAGGAGCGGTCGGACCGCTCGCGCTTGTCGCGCCTGATGCGCTCTGCGAGGGGAGGGGCAGTTTCGTCTTTCGAGTTTGCCCCGCGGGCCCGCGCGCCGCGCGCGGGCCCGCGTGTGCCGTGAAGCTGTGACCTGTGTCGTGTGTGTACACGCCGGCGCCAGGCCGACTGCACGCTAAAGGCTACACGCTCGCACACCACTTGCAGAGTGGCTCTCCCAGGCGCTCACCCCACCCGGAGGCACGCCAGGCCCCGGGCAGCCGGCCGTCACTCGCCTAAGCGCCTAAGCGGCCTACGTCAGTAAGCGGGGGGTGCTTAGGGTGCTTAGGCGCTTAGGCGGCCCTTGCGAGCGTGGCGGCGTCGTAATACAAGTGACTCCGATGGCAATCATGATGCCCCTGCTAGTGTGTCATCGCTCAGAGAGCAGCCTCACGCACGTCCACTGTCTACCACTGGCCCTGGTCGCACACTGCCACTGAGCTGCGCTGGTCCGCAGGCTGGTGCGGGAACTCAGCATCAGGTCGAGTCGAGGAAGATGAGATCGCGGAAGGTCGAGTCGAGGAAGAGAACAAGATCAGGGGCGGGTCCGGTAGACCGGTCCGCGGCGCCATGTGCGTGGCAAAGGACGCGAAAAGTGCCCACTGAAGCTTCCGCGCCTTGACTTCACGTTGAGCTGTGATGATATGCCCACAGCCCAGCAGCAAAGGCGGGCGGGCCGACCCCGCGGCCATCGCCGCCGCCGCCGCCGCCCCCTCCGCCGCCGCCCCCTCCGCCTTCGTCGTCACCTTGGGCTGCATCACCCGCGCCGCCGTCGTGCACCGGCTCTCGTGCTCATTCAACGGCGCCTCGAGCTGCAGGCCGGCGGCACTGGCGTTGTCGTGGTCGGGGGCTGCCCAACGTCGGTGCGGGAGGGAGGGGGCAACGCCGTTATGAAGAGCGAGAGCGAGCGCCGAGAGGGCCCAGCTTCTTTGCAGCAGCCCGCCTGATCAGCAGCCCACTTGCCGACGTGCGTCCAGAATTCCATGTAGGTGAACGCCGAAGTTTGCTCTCCGACGCCGTGCCGAGCGAAACCTTTTCCTTCGAAGCTCAGCGTCGTAGCCGGGCGAGCGGAATAGGGCAGCCCTAGAGAGCACCTTGAGGCCGTTCAATAGAGCCCGTACTATAGTCGAGAATCTCGCCGGCCGGCGCAGTGCTGCTCTGACCGCTCCGCCGGGCCCCCTCCGGGCCGCCGCCGCGGAGACGTGCACATGGCAAGTTGGTATTTTCATATATGAACTTAAAAATAGTATTGGCTAGTCTAATCCTACTCATCACAACTCGCCAGGAACACCCCCACACTATAGGGTCATTGTGTAGCCCTGCTTAGAAGGAAAAGGTTTACTGCAAGGTCCGTGTAGAGTAACAGTGATGGCCATTTACTGGTAAAAGAGTGGTATTTACCACTTATTTGATTCTCCAGGGGAGTGGTATGGTATGAGCAGAGAGTGGTATGGTAAATTACGAAACTCCGTAGAATCATCAAATTTTCGGGATCTGAGCCGAGTCTGAGGCTGGTTTGCGGCCAAATTCAGCCAAATTGGCAAAATGCCGGGTATTTTGCGGGTATACCTGGGGAAACCCGGGTATACCTGGAAAATACCGGGTATTTTGCCGATTTCTCCGATTTTTGTCTGATTTTGCTTCAGAAGTCGTGGTAAATCTTACCACCATTTGATTGTGGCCGTAGAGTGTTTGATTGTTCTGGGGGGCTATACCAGTAAATGGCCATCACTGGCAGTGTAACACTGGTAGAGTATGTGGCTCTCACCGTTGTGTAGTCGGCCGCCATTTAAGGTAGAGCCAAAGAGCGGAGACTCTCAAAGAGGGGGGTGGGTGGGGTGGGAAGGTGGTGGGTTTTGCTGAGGTAGTAGACTCTAGAAACGTAGACAAGAGACAGGTAGGAAAACGGTGTCCGCCTGCAGGCACGAGGCAGGGCCAGACGCAACAAAATCGCTCTCGCAAAATCGCACATTCTTGCCAGGGCGGTGCTGCCGCTTCCCGAGCGGCTCTGGGAAGCGGCGCACTCTTGTAAGCCCGGCGGTGCGCAGCGGAGCGTGCCGGCAAAAGGATCGGGAGGCGGGGGGGAGGGGACACGTCAAGATGGAAGCGCCCGCACTATTGACGCGGCAGCGAGAAGGGAGCCGGAGAGGATGAAGCCAGACCTGGGCCGCCGCTCGGCGACGGCGGCGGCGCGGGCACTGCCGCCACGTGCGTGTGCGGCCGTGGCCCGAAATCCAGCGTCGATCCCGCCTCGACGCCGTACTGGACGAGCGGTTTTCCCGCCTCGAGCGTTGTGTCCTTGTACGAAATGGCGAGCGTCTCGGGCTTGACAGCAAGCTGGCGCGCGGCCTGGCGGCGTACCTGCAGCGGAAGGGGCGTGGGAGAGCCGTGTCGTGTCGCGTGTGGTGGGCAGGTGCAATGATGAGGCTTTCAAAGTTGTTGGTGGTCGTGCACCTCATCCGCGTCCGCGAGGTGCAGATCGAGGAGCATTCTGACCCTCGAGACGCCCGCGCGGCCTGGCGCGCGACCCATCACGAAGATCTCCGTGCTCATCTCGAGGCCCCGGGCGCCTAGCGGGCGCGCCGCGAGTGACGTAGGCCTCGCTGCTTCTCGTTTGTTTGTGATGCCTTTGCACTTGTGATGAGGATGCGAAGTCCGCGTTTTTTTTTGCCGTCCGAACGGCCTCGCGCTCTGTCTGCTCCCGCTGCGGCGCCGGCCGGCTCCCGCCCCGACCGACCTTTCGTGGCGTCGCCTCCACTAGGCGCCCGTACGTACTGCGCCTGGCGGGGATGCTGCTGCTGCTGTCGCCGGGGTGGGGCTCTGGCCGAGCATGCTGCTGCTGCTAACGCGCCACTTTGCGGCGGCGCAGCGCGCGCAGGCGAGCAGCCCCGGGGGCGTGAGTGCCGCGGGCATGAGTGAAGTGGGTCGGGTTGCGGACTGCGGCACGTGGGTCGTGTGTCTGCAAGAGTAGAGCCCCCCATCCCGCTAACCCCCCCCCCCCACGGTCCCTCGCGGCCGCGCGACGCTGCCGCACCAATCGCGCGCTGTGCCTCGTCCGCGTCCAAGAGCGGCACGTGGCGCACCGTATTCTTTTAAGCCCACGTACGGCGTGTTCGGGGCTCTGCGGGCGCAGCTGGGCCGGGCTACAGCGAGCCGAAAACACTTAGTTCTACCAAATAATTCTTTTTCCACCCGAGGCTTTGGACGCTTCATCGCTGGCACGCTGCCAGCACGCAGCAGTGCCGCAAGGCCCGCACCCGGCTGAAATTGCCGATTGCCGGTGGCTCGCGCGAGCCCGGCGGCGGACGGTGCAAGCAAGGTGAGCAGCCGAAGCTACCGGCATATCACTTTTGCGCGGCCCTGTGCCTGTCTTGCGCCATCGCGTCGGAAAGCAGCGCCAGCCTCAACTTGCAGCATCCACCACAGCTCACCGCGATGCAGCACGCTCTCGCACGCGAGGCGGCCCGCTTGAAGCGACTCATCTGATGGAGACATTGTGATTGTCTGTTTTCTTTCCGTTTCTTTCTGAATTCGTCTTTCTCCCTTTTAAGGGCAGGCGTCGGCGACCGGGGGGCGGGCGTTGAGTCAGCAGTCTGTCTGTGCTCGGAAAAGAGTTTTAATCAGTTCGACTCTCTCTCCATGAGAAAAGCCACAGACCACAACGCTTCGCGAATTGCGTATACCAGAGAGGAGAGTGTGGGAGCTGTGGGAGCGCCCAACTTCAACTGAGCCAAGTTAGCATATTAGATGGGGGGGGAGATAGGCGCAGGACGACGTCGACGAGTGTTGCGCAGCTCCATCTCTACCCCTCGGGAAAAGGGTGGCGATATCGTCTGTGCTCTCGAGTATCGTCTGTATGAGCTTTCCTATCAAGCCTCTAATGCTTCGTTGTCCATCGTCCGCTGCTGTACAACTCTGGCCGTCTCTTCCTTCGCAAGGGCCCCGCCCCCATTGGGGAAGGGGGCGGGGCCCACGCAGGGGGACCTCTAGTTGGACCATGACGATTTCCGGCGACAAAGGAGGGTTCCGTCCGTCCCCGTCTTCTCCTATGGAGTCAGGCTTAGACGAGGACGGGCTTCACTCGCCCCCACTCGGCGGCTACACCGCCACCGGCGCGCCGCCTAACACACCGCACGGGGCGCAAGGAAGCTCGACCACACCGTCTGGCCTGCCGCATGATAGCGGCTTAGGTCAAGATCTGCATGGCAGTCCTCGCCCCATCGCATACTTACGCACCGAATGCACCATTCGGTCAAGCGATAGCCAGCCAACAACGGCATACAACGGCATGCCGCAGATGCACGGACATTCCATCATGCCGCAGTACAACATCGCACCGCAGCACATGCATGCCTATGCGCCACGGTACCCCGCCGCAGCTATACCACCATATCAAATGAGCACGCAGCACAGTGCTGTCATCCAACAAGCCGGGCACATGGGCGCTCAGTGGATGCACACAGGCCCACAGTATGGCATGCTCGGAGCAACTATGCCAAATGCATACGCGGCGTACCAGCCTGGGTCGGCCCCACCCGGTTACCCAATGCCGCATAATGCCTCCGGCGCCGGGACACAGTCGGCACAGTGGGTGCCACCCTCGCCTAGCGCGATGCCGCACGCAAACCAGCCTGGACCCGTAATTGTAACAGATGCCTTGGCGTACGTGCCGCCCTCCGTTTGGACTCCGCCGTTGCCAACGCCTCCGCCTGCGCCCGCAGCCGAGCCGTCTACAGGCGATGGTGGCAACAGCGCCGTTACAACAGCTGCTCAGGCTCTACGCCAAGGATCTCAGCTCTGGCGACATCAGCGCGCCCACCCGGTCGCCCGAGGGCGTTCCCGCAAGCAGAGAAGACAAGAAAGAAAGATAATCCTGGGGGGAGCAACCATCTACATGTACGTTCGCTAGGCGTGTGTGCCCCGTTAGTGCCGCGTTCTGTGCCCCCGAGTTCATTTTAATATCGGAGGTGTAGTATAATGTGTTTGTTCGAGAGCAGGCACACTAGAGTGACACCCAGCGAGGGGCAGACCTCTCGATGATGGACGAGCCATGGCGCCGGCCAGGCGAGTCGTCACACCATCCCAATACGCGTCTCTCGCGTCAAGAACGCGCCATTCGCGCGCCAGCACCTGCCAGCACGACTTATACGTCAATTACGCCACACACGAACACTTTCGATGTTTGTGAGTGTTCCGACGGGCGTTGATCGAATCCTTGTGCGACAAATCACGACTCCCACCGAGCCGCGCCGCGCTTGCCCGCGAAAAGAAAGCCAATTCCTGACTTGGCCCCTCGGGGCCTGCGGGCGACCTTCTCTCGAGGTCTCGAGAGACACAAAGCGGCCAAGCGCACTCGCTACCACCGACACCCGTGCGTGTCACATAAACGCACAACCCCGGGCCCCGAAATCGCACAGTGACACGACGACACATTTCTTCTTTGCAAGTCTTGTGTAGTACTGTGTCCTGCTGCCCCTTGCATGTCCTCAGCTGGGCACCCCGAGATGCCTCGGCACGGGCCCCGGCACGACTCGCACCACCACCGACCCGGACACCACGGCGGCGAACGGCACCACAACGCCACACGTTTTGCCGCTTTGGCAGACCTGCCTGCGGCGGCGCCCGGCGGTGTGCTTGAGCGGCTGCAGCAGTCCTTTGCAGACGAGCATCTCGAGCTGGCGGTGCTGCTCGGTGCGAGCCTGCTGTGCTTGGCCGCGTGGGCGTGCCTTAGCTTCACCGCAGCCGTCCCTGCCTCGCCGTGCGCCCAGCCCATCTCCAAGGCGGTCTCGTCTGAGAGGCTCGTCGAGCCAGTGGTCGAGGGCAAGCCGGTGCCGTCGAGCCGAGGCGACACGACGGTGTACCGGAGGCTGCGCAACCGGTACCTGGTGGCCTACTCGCTGGCCACCTTTGGCGACTGGATCCAGGGCGGCTACCTCTACGCGCTCTACGCCAATCACGGCTACTCGATGCATCAGATCGCGCAGCTCTTTGCGGTCGGCTACAGCTCTGCAGCGACGCTCGGCACGTACACGAGCGCGATCGGCGACGTGGGCGGGCACCGGCGCAACTGCGTCGCGTACGGCATCCTCTACGCCGGCTCTTGCCTCCTTGCCAACTCTCCAGCCGGCCTCCCTAGAAGTGGAAGACGACATTCGTACGTGTGTTCACGTCTCCCGACTGGCGCTCGAGAGGACACGGAGTCAGCCGGATTCCACCGTATTCATCTGCATTCCGCTGCACTCGCATCCCCTCGTCTTCACGCGGTGCTCTGACGACTCTGCACGAGGCTGGCGTACTCAGCACTGTAGGCGGGCCTCGCCCTCGCGGCCAGCCGGCTGCTCGGCGGCATCTCGTACTCCATCCTCTTCACCTCGTTCGAGTCGTGGCTGATCGCCGAGGCCGAGGCGTGCGAGCTGCCACGCGGCCAGCTCACCCATATCTTCGCCGCATCCTCCTGCGTCTACGCCTTCTCCGCCGTCGTCGCCGGCATCGCCGGCCACGCCGTCGTCGAGCCGCCGTCACAATGAATAGTGCACAATGAATGATGAATGATAGGCATCGCCGGCCACGCCGTCGTCGAGCCCTCTTCCTAACGAGTAGTCAATCGGTGAATGGTGAATGGTAGGGATCGTCGGCCACGTCGTCGTCGAGCTCTCGCCGCCGTCGGCCGAGGGGGGGCACAACCGATTCGCTGCTCCCTTCAACGTCGCCGCGCCCGTGCTGCTGCTCGCCTCCTTCCTGTGCCAGGTGCAGTGGAGCGAGCGGTACGGCGACAGGCGGACGACGCCGAGCGCGTCGCTGCTCCGCTCGTGGCGTGCGATCGTCGCGAGCCGCACGCTGCTAGGTGCCTGACCGGCACCCCCAATCTCCCCCATGTCTCCCCCATATCTCCCTCGTATCTCCCTCACATCTCCCCCATCTCTCCACCAGCTCTCGGCGTGGTCAACTCGCTCTACGAGACGTCGCTCTACGCCTTCGTCTTCATGTGGACCCCCTCGCTCGAGCGCCGTGCGCCGCACCAGATCTCGCACGGGCTCATCTTCTCCATCTTCATGGTGAGTAAGATGGCGGGCGCGCAGGGCTTCGCGCTGCTCGACGCGTACGGCGTCTCGCCCACCAGGCTGCCCGAGATCGCCCGAGATCGCCCGAGATCGCCCGAGATCGCCCGAGATCGCCCGAGATCGCCCGAGATCGCCCGAGATCGCCCGATGGCCACCCCAGATCACCCGAGATCACCCCGAGAGTACGCGAGATTGCCTGGTCCTCTGTCTTTGTCGTCGTCCTTGCCTGTGTCGAGGAGCGTGCCCGACCTCACCGTGCCTCTCGCCCACCAGATCTCCCCACATCTCCCCAGATCTCCCCAGATCTTCCCACATCTCCCCAGATCTCCCCAGATCTCCCCAGATCCCCCCATATGTCCCCGATGACAGTTGCCTGGGCGGTGTGTTTGCGGGCTCCGCGCTCTGCCTGCTGGTGCCTGTCGTCTCGAGCTCGTACGAGGCGCTGCTGCTCGCCTGGCCGTCTTTCCACCAATGAGGTGGGTGACGTGAGGGAGGGGCACGCTCTTCATTCAGGCGCTGCTGCTCGCCTTCTCCGCCTTCGAGTGCCTGCTCGGGCTGTACTGGCCGGCCATCGCGCTCGTGCGGGCCGGCGAGCTGGATGACTCACACCTCTCCCCACATCTCCCCCAC